ATGAGGCTGTAAATCAGCACCTTGTGCAGTTTTTCACAAATAAAGACAGGTCCTTCTATGACCGAGGAATTATGAAGCTGACTGAAAGATGGCAAAAGATTATCGAACAAAATGGGCAATATATCATTGATTGGTCTTTGTTCTTTATATAAATAAATGACCTTTGAAAAACGTAGACAAAATACATCATGACTTTTCCGACAACCGAATAGATCTTTCGTAAAGCACAGCAGGGTAAAGCAAACGTTCGAAAAGCAGAGGTACCCGAAAAACCCTGATGGCTTCAGAAAGTACAAGTAACATCTTTGATTCTTCTAGACTCAACTGCACTCGCTCCTCTCAGGGAAGAGGGCCAGTATTCTGTGAGAAACAGCTACCCAGAATGCCCCCCGTCCCACGCCGGCTACTGTCTTCACGACGGAGTGTGTATGTACATTGAAGCCGTGGACAACTATGCATGCAAGTAAGTTTAGCCATCTTTCTTACAGCATAGCGATGTGGCATTGCAGCTCATAACTTTCAACTAATTTGCAAAATTGATGTTAAGTACATTTTTCTATAATTAGATTTTCACTTAGGGAAAAACAATATTATACATACATAAATTGTGTGTGTGTTGCACTCTCTCTGCATATCATCTCCCACCCCCACCCCCCGCAGCTGCTGCCAGTGGTAAATATTGGGTTGTCGGAAAAGTCATGATGCATTTTTGCAACGAAAAACAAAGAAAAAATACATCATGACTTTTCTGACAACCCAATATAAATTTAAGGAATTGGTGATTGTTCCCTTTTACTTAAATAACTTGATGTTACCACTGGTACAGTCAGGGGATTAAACTTCTCATTCTGGTTGAAAAGATTAGGTTTATAAAAGAGTTCCTTAAAACTTTGATTTATTTTTGCCAAATATATAGAGAGCATCCACGATATGTTTCTGTATTTGCAAGTTTTATATATATATTCACACTGGACTTCTTGTCTTCAATTCTCAAAACTAATATATACAGAGGGTGCCAAAAAAATGTATACGGGCCGGCCAAGTGGTTCAGTTGGTTAAGAGTTTGCTTAAGAGCACGAGCTCTGAGTAACAGGGTCACTGGTTTGATTCCCACATGGGCCAGTGAGCTTCACCCGAGCTGCACCCAAGCTGAGCTGCCACTGAGCTGCCAACAGGTGGCAGGATCGCTCAGCTGGTGAGAGCACGTGTTCCTAATGACAAGATTGCCTGTTCGATGGTGGGCTACGTCCATCCACAGCTGAGACTGAACTCAGCACCTTGAGCTGAGCTGCCGCCAGGATGGCTCAGTGGATAGACCGTGCACTCTTAACAACAAGGTTGCCAGTTCGACTCCTGCATGAAAAAAAAATGTGTACACATTTTAAAAAGGAAAAAACTGTATTAATATCATAATACTCAATATATACCGATAACAGATGAATGCAAGTCACATTTGACTTCTGCAATTACAAGAGGTGCTCAAAGTGGTTACCCTCAGTGTTCAGACACTTCTGAGTGGTTCTGCCAATTTTTTTTTTTTACTGTCCTGCCTTCATTTGCTTATTGCCATCTTTTGAGCAAACGTCATACTACACATTGCTATCATAATTCAATTCAACTTCAAAAAGTAATACATAGGGCTAGCTGAATGGCTCAGTTCGTTAAGAGAGCGAGCTCTGAGCAACAGGGTCGCCGGTTCGATTCTCACATGGGCCAGTGAGCTGCACCCGAGCTGAGCTTTCGCTGAGCTGCCAACAGGTGGCAGGATGGCTCAGCTGGTTCAACTCCCACGACTGCCCCTCCCACTGCAACTAAGATTGAACACCACACCTTGAGCTGAGTGGCTGCAAGCTGCCAACAGGCGGCCGGATGGCGAATGGACTTGGAGCTGAGCTAGCTGCGCCCTCCACAACTAAGATTGAAGGACAACAACTTGGCTGCTGCTCCCCTTCCCCAATTCCCCAACACTGTTCCCCTCCCTCAATTCCCCAATAAAATTTTTTTTAAAAAGTAATACATAGATAACATCTCTTAAAATGTGTATACATTTTTTGGCACCCCGGGCCAAATGGGAGAGATTCCTAACAAGTGAGCATTACAAAATGTTTAATAGGATTTTTTTTTAAAGATTTACGCTCTTGTAAAGAATAATAAACTACCCAAGATCCCCATAGTTTCTAGAAGCATGTGTTCCCAGTAGATGGCAGCATTGTTTCATTCACTTTCATCTAAAGATTCACAATGTTGGTCATGGTAATTCTAATATAACAATTTCACTAATGAAGCAGCAGGATGTTTGCCTGTGAATGCTTCTTTTTCCCTCCACTTAGTTTTTCTCCCTTGAAGAAAGCAGGCAAATGCTGAGAGCTTTTCTCTTGGGCCTGTGGTGATTAAAAAAAAAAGAATAGAAAAGAAGAAATGTTTCCTCCATAGACTAGGCTATGCTTCCTTTTTCACATTATTTTATAGCCTGGTCTCAAGTGAAGGACTCTGCTTTCAAATTCTTCCTTCCTTTGAACTTAGATTTCATTGCAATCTGACCAAACATTTGTTCAAAAACGCTCTTGGCTCTTAGGGCAGAGTTGCTTTGTGTTGGTCTTAAAGGTAGCTTCTCAGGATTTTAGCCTAAGAGTAATTGATCTTTAATCAATGTTCTGCAATGCCTCATAGAGGCAGCATGCAAATAATCCCCCATCAATCCCAGGGCAAACAGACAAAAGGGGAAGTCCATGCAGCATTAACTTGTAAAGCAGAGTGCTTTCAGCTGACCCCTGATGGATTTTTCCATGTGCTTCCAAAAAGCTGAGTCTGGAAATGCAAAGGTTGATAAGTGGCTGGATATTGGGTCTGAAAAATAGAAGCATCTTGGGCCAGGCTTACAGCCGACCTCTCTTTGTGTGTTGTCACAGCTGTGTCGTTGGCTACGTTGGAGAGCGATGTCAGCACCGAGACTTGAAATGGTGGGAATTGCGCCATGCTGGCCACGGGCGGCAGTGGGACATCACAGTGGTGGCTGTCTGCATGGTGGTGCTCGTCCTGCTGCTGCTTCTGGGGCTGTGGGGCACTCACTACTACAGGTGATGCTTTCTTCCCACCGGCACTTTCAGCCTCTTTCTAGCCCCTCCCAGGAGAACCCTGCCTCCTTCAGAGGAATTTCTTCTACACCCGTACTACTTTTAAGAAGTGGAATAACAGTAAAAGAAAAACAACAAATGCTGCAGGATTCTTGTGTTCCAAAACATCGATAGTTTCCCCTTTCTTGTTCCATTCCAGTCTTTGTGCACACTTCCCGTGTAGTTTATGGGGTTGTTACTTAAAAGTGCATTTTTGTACTCCACTTTTTTTCTTCCCCTGCTTACCATTACCTGCTCTTCCCCCATAGCCTGCATAACTCACTTTTTCATGGCTGTCCTCCATTGGGTTGATTTCCCATAAAGCATTAAGTTTTGATCAAGAAAAATCAGTACCTTCCCCGACTTAGAAGGAAGTTTCTGGTCCTTGGATTTTGTGTTTTCAACAATTTCAAGTTAAAAGTTAAAAATTGTGGAACGATATTTATACATTTAACTTTTTTAAAATTAACACTACATTAGGGTGAAGGAATAGGCATCACACTGCTCATTTTCCATTTTCTTAAAAAGTAGGACAGCATTCTCCACCACCCGTAATATTGAAAAACATTTTATGTACTGTTACAGTTTGTGCCACACAAAATCAGTGAGTCATAACACTTTGGAGCTGAAAGGAGCTTTACTGAATTATCTAATATGATCTCATCATTTTATGGCCAAAGAACCACTTAACTAATAGGTCTCAATTCTCTGGGAATGTATGGAATACCTGCCACCATTTGCTGGTAAAAATCCAACCACACTTACTGGTTCTACACAACCACTCAGGTGGCAACTGTCTTGTATTCTGGAGAATTCAACATATCATTCAGCATCTAAAACCCTGCTATATCCTAGTGTAGTGGCTAAAAGCACGGGCTCTATAATCAGACTGCACAGGTTCAAATCTCAGTTCATGTTTAAATAACATCAGGCATATCATCTATAATATTCATTAATTTCCTTTGCTATAAAATAGGGACAAGAATAGTACTTAAGAGCTATTGTGAGGTTAATTGAGTTAATCTAAATAAAGAGTTTAGTGTACATCTGGCATATAGGAATTTATAAATGCTATCTGTTGTTATTATGATTTTCCATGAACTGTAATCTTCCCCCAAAGAGTCATTTGTTCCAAGCCCTTTTCCACCTGGAGACACAAGATTCTCAGGCACAAGTTGAAATTTTAATTCAGCAGTCCATCAGTAACCATTGTACTTCATAGCCTGATATTCAATCAATATCTTGGATGTCTGTAGAAAAATGTCGCATAATTAATGCTTCATCCCATTAGAGAGAATGCCAAAAGAAAAGTAGATGCTTGGCAAATAGTGTAGAAAAAAATGGAAACAAAAAACTTAAGTTTATGTGTGCCATAATTATTAAGCATTTTTTTTTCTTATTCTATGCGCTGTGGAATAGTATGTTTTATGTTCTATTGATGTTCTTCAGAGCTCTGGATTGAATGCCAATGACCAATTGCTGGCTTTTTTTACAAAGACCAGCTCAGTTGAAAGATGACTGTAGACTTTATAAACAAATAAGTACGTCTTTAGCCTCTGATCCCTGTATACCTGACATAAAAATTGATAAAGACTACTTCTTCAAAAAGAAAACTCATCACAATGGTTTTTTCTTTTTTGCTGAAGCGCATTGGAGTTATGGAGTTCTTTCTGAACAGATCTATGGTTATTTACTGAGCAGTTCTTGTCAATGGAGCTGCTTACCCAACCACAAATTTTGAGCTATATGCTTTGATTGTATTTGGACTGTAAGTTTATCAATTCTGTTAAGGTAAAATTAAAACTGCCAGTCTAAATAGTGCCATGTCACTAAAGTATGCCACAAAATACAGCCCTAGCGTTGAGTTTTTAAGTTAGGCATGTTAAGTGACTTTCTTTAAAGGCATAAAATCAGTTATTCCTTCCTTTGTATCAGCTCTTGGTCTGTCTTGTCTAGATTGAGTGTTTGATGCTATTTGTCTTGTGTATCTCTTAGAAGGTTACCTTTGTGGAATTAAATGATTGTTAAGGTATTGGAATATTATTACTTCAAAAATCTAGATTTCTTGGAAGGACCCACTTGTTGGAAAATTAAGAGTATTCTGTTACAAACTATAACTTTGCAACTTTGGAACTGATTATATTAGCCTCTTGCTTCCATTTTTCCTTGATGCCTTTGATTGAAAATAATAATAACCCACACCGTTTCTTGGTATTATCCATTACATTGAATTCACACCTCCTGGGATGGAGCTGTTACAGCAGCCCTGGCTTTCCTGTTGCCCTTCCTCACCAGGAAGGCCTATTGGACACAGGTTTGCCCTCCTAGAGGGAATTAGGCTGCTGTGGACCCAAGACGGCAGTGCTATTTTGGAATCTGGCTGGTGGTTTTCACCACCATGTTTCCTTCGTTGCCTCCCCTACATGGCTGCTCAGTACATTACATACCTGTCTCTCTCCCTCTAGAGGCCAATGCTTTGAGCACAGGGATACCATGCCTTAATGCTAGATCTCCCTGCCTTTCACTTCTGCCCTCTAGTGCATGACACCATGCATTATATAAACGTAGTGCTTCATGTTTGTGAAACAAATAAGTATTTATAAAACTGGATTTGGAGTCAGGAGACCTAGTCTATTTCCTGGCTTGGCAACTACATGACAGATGCTCTGGGTCTTCCACTCCTTGCGTTTTTGCTTGTAATGCCTGTGAACAGATTGCAGTGGGCCAATGGAAGGAGCCTAAGCATTGGGTCTTTATAACCCAGCTCCTGGGCTGCCCTTGCAAGGTGTGTGTCTTGCGTGAGTCACTGCCATCTTGTAGCCCCACTGGCTTCACTTGTAAATGGAGCTAATATAGTGTGTGTCACACAATTGCTGTGATACTGTTTCCATAGACCCTCCTCCCCACCAAATTGTAAGTCTGTTAGGGTAGAGATTTTATTGTTGATTTTCCGTTGCTATATCCCCAGTACTAGGACAGTGCCTGGGATACAGTTAGCACTCAATAGATATGTCCATGCATGAGTGCATGGCTCTCTGCTCCCTCACTTGTGCTCCCCACCCCACCCTCCTCCCATCTCACCGAACCTTGGCAAAAGGGAAACATTATCTGGAAAGTTCTGCAGAAAATATGCCTTAAAAACCCAAACTTATGTTCCTGGTTTTCTTAATGTTTCTTCTCTCCCATGCATTTTAAGTACCTAAATTTCAATAGCAAACATAGTTGTCCCAGACTATCGCCGAGTGGGCTACTTTGTTTTGTGATTGTCTCACATTTTGGTTTCACTGCAGGACTAAGAAGCTACTATCAAAAAATCCAAAGAACCCTTATGAAGAGTCTAACAGAGAAGTGAGCATTACCAGGCCTGCAGACAGAGAGGCTGGGATGTCCTCCTGCCCCCAACCTTGGGTAATGTGACCAAAGTACATGAAGCAAGAAATTGGCTTTATATTAATCCCAGTTCATTTTTTCTCATTCTTCACCGAGTTCAGAGACACTGAAATCTGTTACAGCTTCCAGCTGGTGTTAATGTTAGTCATAAATAGTGCCGTAATTTTTTTTTTAAGATTTTTTAATTGGGGAATTGGGGGAGGGGAACAGTGTTGGGGAATCAGGGAAGGGGAACAGCCAAGTTGTTGTCCTTTTGTTCTTCAGTCTATTTGTGGAGGATGCCGCTTCACTGGCCCATATTGGTATTATGATCATTGCGCTCTTCCCCGCTGAGGCAGTTGCTCACCGGCCATTGGACAGTTGCTTACGGTGGCTGACAGCAGCCCACTGCAGCCCACTGCCTCCTACGTTGTTGCCAGCCACTCACAGCAGCCCTGCTCCAGGTTGAGTTGTTGTTCACAATCTTAGCTGTAGAGGGCACAGCTTACTGGCGCATGTGGGAATCGAACCGGCAGCCCTGCTCCTCAGAGCTCTCGCTC